CGGCTTGATGATATCCAGGGGAGCAACTGAAAGAAGCAAAGAAAGGTAAGGCTCCTTCCTCCTTTCTCACTTAGTGCCTTGCCGTTGCTGTGCAGGAACTGGGAATTGCTGACACGTCTGAAGTCAGGGCACCTCCTGTGTCCTGATGAGAAAGATCCCTCCCTTATCCTGATGGGACATAGGAAGTGTCACCTCTACTTCACTCTTTCAAGGGGTAGATTTGTTCCTTCCTGAGGCTACATCAGATAGCTGGTAAAGGATTGTGAGTACTTGGAATTGTGAGCTACTTAGGTGAGGTTAGGTCAAGGAGAGTGTGCAAGGAATCGGGCTTCTGCAGGGCTGTTGGATTAGTTACCTTTAAAGGCCTTTTTCCACTGGTGAGATAATAGGATTTCAAACCAGTCTGCATTAAGACTGAAATGGATTACTCTGGCAGAGGCAGACTGCTCAGTTTTGGGATCTATTAACAGAGTTAGACTTCAAGGGAGCAGAGCTGGAGGACAGGAAATGGTTAGATAACTTCCTAAATTGTCTCTATTTCCACTTCCTCAGTAAGGAAGCTTAGGCATGAAATGGGAAGAACAGAAACAGCTTGAGTTTGGGGAGCAGTAAAATTTGTGGTTTAGCTCCGACTTTCCTGTTTCCTGGTCAATGTGCAACCTGAGATATGTTAATCACCTTCTGTCCTGATCTCTTCACACTAGAAGATACTTCATTCAGGTTGCTACTAGGAACAAATGGAGTAATTTTGCATTTTGAAAAGTACCCTGGGCCTTGTACATATAAAACAGCAATATCAACTTTACTTGATTTCTTGTTTATTGTACAGAAATGCCCTGGATGAAAGTTCTGTGCTTGTATTGAATGAACATGCTTGCCAGTGCCTTAGCAGACATTTTTTTGGGGGGATGGGTGGGGGCGTGAGACAGAGTTTCTCTGTGTAGCTTTGACTGTCCTGGAACTCTCTCTAGTCCAAGCTGGCCTCAAACTCACAGAGATCCTCCTACCTCTGCCTCCTTAGTGCTGGGATTAAAGGCGTGCTGCCGGCCAGCTTTAGCAGATGTCTTAATTAAAGGCCTGCCTGGCTTTTGTTTCATCATGTTATATATAAAAGGTGGACAGTTATAGGAAAACTTAAATTGAGGGGCCCTGTCAAATACTGCACCGACTGAGACACTTATTCATTCAGCTTTGCAGGGTCTTTTTCTTGGGAATAGAGGTTAAGCATTAAGTCTCAAGAGTCGGAAGATCAGCCCCAATTTCTTGGAGTGGGTGCAGGACCTTTTCTCCTCTGTCATTGCCTGTCTGCTCTTTCAGGTACTGGGTGTTCATAATCTAAGCAAGTTTGTTCTCCAAGGTGCCTGCTTTTCGTAGTGATAATCAGCACAAAAAGGAAGGGATGCACAGAGTATGAATTTGAAGCAGCAGCATGTGTTGGATGGTGAGGACTAGGGTCATAAAGCCTGTAAGTCAGTTACAGAGAAACCTCACATTCACTAAAGCAATGCCTGTTATCTGTGATCCCTTGACATAGGAGTTCAGATCTTCAGGCTCTGAGCTGTTCTTTCTGGTGTGCAGCTTTTCATGGCCCCTTTAGAGGCCAGGCTGCTATATGCATGGCTGCAAATGCATGGTTACCAATCGTTGCTTATTCGTGGTGATCACAGTGATCTCTTTATGGTTATGTGATCCCAAGATGCCTCCTAAACCACCTGAAGGGCATGATGGTTCTACAACTTTCCTTATCCTACTTGGAGTCCCTACTGGCCTGTGAGTGCCTATAGCATCCAAAGTACTCAGAACTTGCCTTGCATTGGCTAGTGCTCATGTCAGTCAAAGTGTCCAGGCTGTTATCCAGCTTACCTCACTCTAAGGAAGAACTTGGGAATTGTTTTCCTAGTTTGAGGAGGAGCTCACCTAAGGGGTGTGGCATCTGCTGAAAGCACTTGTACAGTTGAGTGCTGAGTTGCCTTACACCATCAGATCCAACAAGGACTGCCTGGGCTCTGCTGCAAACATCCAGGGAGAGAAACTCAGGGTCCTGACAGCTTCCCTGGTAAGTTGTTTCCTCTTTAGTGTGAACTAGAGTCTTCACCTGCCAGAGCACTAGCTCTCCCATCACCTGCTGACTCTTCTGCCAGACATTTCTCTCAAGCTTTCTCAGTAGGCCAGCAGATTGCTAGGGTACCATGCTTAAGTTTGTCAGGCTGTTAGCCAGGACTAGTGATTAATTTAATCACACATTGTGTGGGGATTTTAAACTGAATTTATATAGACCTTTGTTTATTCTAAAAGGAATTGGAGGTGGCTAATGAAAAGATTTCATAGGCATTGCTCAGTGGTCTATTGTTAATGAGCTGAGTTTCTGTATTGCTATGTGGTTTGGGACAGACATGTTTGGAGGAATGAGAAAGGAAACTAAAACAGGGGTTGAACATTTTGGTTTTGCTTCCTCTTACAGTTTTAGGTCAAGATCTGTTACAAATTCAGAGCATGAGTCTTTTCCAAACTGCAAACACTTTGGGGTATCTAGACTGTGGTTTATGAGGGGCAATTTCCTGGAATAGTTTTTCTTTCCTCCTTAGTTCTTCTTTGATGGTGGTAGAATAGGCAGGCAAGTGTATTACCTGTTAATTCTCTGTTATCCTTCGACTAGATCTTCCTGTTTTTCCATTTACACATCATCTGATCCCAGGCTCATCCCCAGAGTCTAAACATCCAGCTTCTGTTCTTCAGTTCTTTCCCCATGTAACCTCTAGAGTCCAAGGCTGCTTAGACCAAATAATGTCTATTACTCCTGTTGAATAACTCACCCCATCCCAGTTCTGTGTGGTAGCCTTCCTTGGGCAGGGGGATAGCCTTCTTGGAATGTAAACAAAGAACTGCAGAAATGGACAGGGTGGGCAGTTGTCTTCTCCTGTTTCTGTTTCCTGTCTAGATTGCCTTAGAAGGCCTGGGTGCTCCATCTTCCCCATCTTCAGTACCCATTATGTATGTGTTTTATTCAGGGATTTGGATCTATGGACCAGTTCTCCAACTTTTTACACTCCTAGGGAAGTTACATTTGATCATTTTTCTTCACACTTTGGCACTAAGTGTGAGGGGCTGTAAGTCCCTTAACTCCTTTTTATGGGAAGTAAAAAGAAGACCAAGGTATAGAAAAACAGTGGCATTCTCTTGGCACATGCATGGGCTTGAGTTTGCTGTCACAGTCTGTGCAGTCAGCTAAACTGGAAACGGTGGCATGCACGTACCACACCCACATTCAGTCCACTTCACTGACGTGCCAGCCCTTTCCTCTACTTCAGGGCAGGATTCCAGCTGCTGTTACCAAGATTTCTCTGTTGCCCCACTGTGCTCTTGTCACATGGGCACAGAGCCATCTCAGCATTTCTCAAGGACACGTGGGTGCCAGGTTGGAAGCTGGAATGCCTGAATCTAAAATCTGGCTGTGGCTTATGACTTAACACGAGATCCTGTGAGTACACAGAGAGGTTAAGAGAACAATAGGCTGGAGGGAGGGTGACTCTACACCTGTTGACTACAATTTTAACTCTTCACCTGCCTACAGGCGCGATAAGACACTACCTACTTTCTACATAATTCCTGGTGTCATGTAGGAACAAGTTAGTGAACAGAATCACCCAGTAAACACATAAGAGTCCTGGGTAGCTTGGCTCTGAAAAACTTCAGCCAGTAGGTAGGAGTGTCTGGGGTTAGAGGGTGTCAAGTAATAAAATGGCAGTGTTCTCTGAAGTCACCTGCTGAACAATCTGTGGTTCCCTGCTCCCTAGTCCTGGGTGTACAAGGTGGGTGGTTGGATCCCAGGTTTATTCGAAGGGTCAGGTACAGCGATGTGGGCGATTGAGGCTGTGGTACAGAGGTGGGTGGACAGTAGGGATTCTCAGATTAACTCTGAATTCCAAAATGAACCAGCCAATGAAATCTGGCTTGCTCAGAGTGGCCTAGTATGCAGGACTCAGGATTCAGACTTCGGAAATTGTGCTCTAGGGCCACTGCTGACACCTAAGTCAGGCCCTGAAGCTCCTGGTCTGCATTTTTACCTCCCCCTCTCAGACTGCTTGAGGCTTTGAGGCTTTCCTTGCTGAGCACACCCTCCTTGTTCACCTGGGTGCTGATGAGTTGTCCCCGCCCCCTCTCCCCTCAAAGTCGCTACAGGTTTCTTTTACTTTAAAACAGAAAAGAATACAGACCTAGGCGCTCCCATCGTTCACCCTTAAGGTTACTACAGAAGCCTGTTTTTGATTATTTTCCTCCTTAGGGCTTAGTTTCACATGGTGCACAGGCCTATCTCTGGTTTCCCCACCCACAAAGAAAAAACAAAAAACAAGACAGTGGAAACAGCTGGTTCTTACTCTGCTTGGCAGCAGGTGTTTCCTCGCCAGCTTCCCTTTTGACACCTGGTCCTTGTTTCTTGCACACATTGCCTTCACCCCTCACCCCTCACCTTTCTCCAGCTCATACTCTGCAGCTTTCCTGGCTTAGGTATGGGGAATAGTTCCAGGTTCTTCGTGTTGGGTTTGGTGAACCATCTACTTAGGAATGTTCCATCAAATCCCACACCCGGCAAAGTCGGTGAAGCTGTAGACTCGTGGGCTGGGCTGCATAAGGGGACATTCTTGGGGAAAGTATGCACTGGACGAGGCCGAAGGTGTGAGTTGGATTGGTGTGAGTGGCATCTACACTCATAGTTGTGACTAGGAGAGGGAATGGGCCCCAAACAAACATCTCTGTTACCACTGTCTTTCGAAGTTGGGGGACCCGGGGAAAACCAGTCGATTAGGTCTTGATGGGTGATCGGGAAGTCAGAAGAGGCAGGCCCCGGAGGGAGGGGCCTGAGCGGACTCGCCCGTGGCAGGGCGGGGACCGACTGAGAGGGCTGGGGGAGCACCGCCCCGCCCTCCCGGAGAAGGGCCACGTTGCCCGCTGGCACGGCCCGGCGGGCGCCTCAGGAAGGCGGGCGAGACGGGACGCGGCCACGCCAGCGCCGGCGCTGGGTCTCGCCTGGTCCTGGGCGAGCCTGGTTGCAGGCGGGGACAGTTGGGAGGATCTGGTGAGCTGGGCCGGCGGAAGCCGGCGTCCACAGTCCTGGGGCTTGTCCCAGGAGGGGAAGGATCCCGGCCGAGGGAGGCCGCGCGGCCAGGGAGTCGGGTCTTAGTCCCGAACGTGTCCGAAAGCCCGGGCTGTTGAGGCGGCGAGAGTGGCGGGCCCACCCGGGGCTGTGCAGCACGCAGTCTCCCCCGCGCGGGCAAGTGGGAACTTAGCGCTCAGCGGTCAGGATTCCCGGCCTTCAGCTGCTGGAGGGAGGGCTGCTTCTCCGGGAGGGTACTGTTGTGAAACTCGGCTGGAAGGCAGTGCGGATGCGGAAGGGAGAGAGGTGGGGTCGCCCTAAGGGAGCAGGGGACTGGAATGGAAAGTGGACTTTTTCCAAGCCTCACCCAAGTCTAGGCTTCATAAGTTACTAGGGCTTGTTTTTGCTCAGCCATAAGGAAAATTTGACTTAATATTGAAATATGTAAATTGACAAAACTTTTTTCCCCTGGCCTCTTTGCTAATGTGTGTGGAACAGGGGTCCCCCAAGAGGTGCAGAGACACCCTTTTTACAAAATGTGTTACAGAGGGACTGTGACCCACCCGGTCGGTGTCTCCATGGAAGAGTGGCCTTAGGCTGAAGCTTCATTTTCATTAACCTTTGCTACTGTAATGGCTTTTGTGCTTGAGAACATCATTGGCCCGTTTCATTGTCTATTTTAATACTATCTAGACTAGAGCATCCTTGGTGCTGGGGTCTTCCTTCTTCCCATTTTTAGTCACCTCTACTTGATGTTTTAATATGGAGGTCACTAATAATGGCGGCATTACCTCCCTGTTTCTCTGAAGGCTCCCCCACAGTGTTCAAACTCTATGGCATGTGCAACAGGTTAAACTCAAAATTCATTTTCTACTTAGGTGTTAGGGAATCATCATTCTCATCCAGACATCAGGGACCTTGGAGATGATCAAAGTCAACTTGACTGTTTACAGATGAGGAAGTGACACAGTGGTTCCTCAAGTTACTGGTTCAGGGTTACAGAGCTTGTTCTGCTGGGCTGTGGGGCTGTCGTGCTCCTGTTGGTACCAGCATTGTGTTTCTCTCTCACCTTTTCTCCCAGGGTAGATACCCTGTAACCCTTCCCTCCTAGGTCTTACTCTACACACTTGAATTATTTAGCATATCGACTCTGACTTCTTTTCAGTTAGTTCTTCCTTCCCTCTGGTGCCTGGTACATCATACAAAGTATAACAACCAGAAAGTAATTCGCTTAGATAGCCATTGTCTGTGATGTGCTCTGGATTTTTAAAGCTGTACTTTTTATCATAGTGGGCAAAGCAGAAATAGACACAGTTCAGAGATATTCCTTCCATCTCAATACTTAATTTAAGGCTAGATATAACATTTGCTTTCCTGCCCCTGGTTGGAAGTTGACTATTTGCTGTTTATTTGTTGCTTAAGGAACACCTTTGGCAGTATGGATGGAATCAAAAACAAGCAAGATATGATAGTGTAAGCTTGTAATGCTAGAACTCACTGGCTGAAGCAGGAGGATCATCAGTTTTAGGCAAGCTTGTGCTACGTACACCTTCTTTTAGAAGGGAATTGCTGCTGGTCAGCCCTTCAGATGTGCATTCAAGTAGTCCCCATAGGGATTGCAAGAGCCACCTGGTATCCAACTGAACCTTCAATTTGCTGAGGCTCAATTCTCACCCCACCATGGTTCAGGCATTAATGTACTTGATGGTGTGGATTCGCCTGCTAATTTCCCAAAAGGAGTCCTAAAAACACTGGGAAAATGAAAGTCAGTTTTGAGTATGGACCTCACAAGCATATCTCATAAACAATGATATTAAGAACTTCTGTCAGGGGTGACAGATGTTCTGACTTTAAAAGGAAAATGGCGAACTTTTCTTGAGTGGCCGTGTTCATAAATACCCCATCCCACATGTCGCCATTTCACTTTGTCCTCTTCCCACTCATTGGTGGGATTTTCCATTTTCTCCCTCCCTTTTTTAAAATTTTTATGTGTACACATGTTTTGCCTGTATGTATGTTTATGCACCACTTGCATGCCTGGTGCTTTAAAAGGCTGGAATCAGAGCCCCTGGAATTAGACTTAGGGAGAGTTGTGAGCTGCCATCTGGGTTCTGGGAATAGAACCTGGGTCCTATGGAAGATCAGCCAGTGCTCTTAAAGCACCAAGTCAGCTCTCCAGCCTCATTTTCGTTTCTTAAGTATGGTAGGGGCCAGTAGTTTCCATGGACATAGAGTAAAACTGTGTTCATGAGAAGCCTGGCCCACATGGAAAGAACACATGATGGTGTTGGAGCCAGCTCTCCAGCCTCTGCCCCAGTTAACCTCAACATCAGACTACAGGTGTGTTAAGAAAACAGCCTTCTGCTGGAATCTAGCCCTCAGTGTTTGAGTCTTCGGCCTGAGGTCCTGACATATAGCAGAGACAGGACCTTCCCTCTGTGCCCATTTTCTAAAGTCTTCAACTATTGTTATTGGGTGAGGGACTAAATGATTGTTACAGTGTTAAGCCAGTAAGTTTTGAAGTAGCTTACTATTTACCAAAAAATACTGATAAGAAATGGGTGTGAGCAGAGCAGTCTTCAGACAGGGACCTGAGTCTAGCACGTAGAGAGGAGCACTTGCCCTGCTTATCAGATATTCTCTTCATTTTCTCATTATTTCAGCTACCAACTGCCATAATGAATCACCCCAAACTTACTGGGCTTTCTTGTAGCAGTCAGATTCCCTTTCACACTTACTTAGTGGTTGATTCTAGCAGTTGGCAGGAATGGTAGCTGAGCTTGTCAGCCGGGATCACGTAAAATGTCTTGTCTTGCTATGCAGCCCAGAGTAGTCTTAGTCGCTGCATTTCTCCTGCCTCTGCCTCCTGAGTGCTGAGATTACAGGTATGCTCGTCATACCCAGCTTTCTCGTCTCTTAGGCATGACTTATAGGAGTCACACACTACTTCTGGAGTCATAGGTCTCAGAATCAAAGGGAGAGTGTGTGCCCCTGCCCCATGGAGGGAGGCATAGCCATCATCTTTAATGAAGAGCTCCCAGGAGGGGATATGTGGCAGTCCTCTGTGGAAAGTGCAGTTCTTCCCTTTTGCTGCTGTTTGGATCTTCATTCTCCCTGATTTAGTTAACACCACACATGGTCCTTCATGCAGCCTCTCAGACTTTACACATGACAAGTAAGCAGTATAGCAGGTGTAGAGGACAGAGAGCCTCTCTTCCTAAGGAATGAGGTAAGAGATTCTGTTATAACATGGAGAGTGCAGAGGGAGAGTAGTCATGGGAAGGCTTGGTTGTATCTGTCTGAGATATTATAGGCCTAAAGAATGTGAATGTTTGTGGTGGAGAACTGGGTAACATTTCAGTAGCGGAGATACAACAGTGTGCAGAAGTAGTTACTGGGGAAATGGTCTTTTGAGGCTGTTACACAGGATCTGTGTCGTACATGGTGGAAATGAGGTTACAAAAGGATGCAAATCAGTTGTTGCAAAGCTCTAGCACCCACTCTAGCACCGAGTGGGAAGGGGTTCTTAAGCCTCCACCCCTGACTGAGGAACTATTGACAGCTGCTGGTTTTGGGGGCGGGGAGAGAATGGTTTTTTTTTTAAAGATGTGGCTCCTGGTAAGTGGTTCGTGTTCCAGTGGATGGCTCCATACCCATGAGTAGTATATGGGCAGCACATTGGAGTGCAAAACAAGAGGACAGAGAAGTTATATGTGGATTTGAACACATACTCCCCCCCCCACCCAGTGTATAATCAAAAGACATTGTATGAAATTCTCAAAGAAAACATTTTTCTGGAACACTTAACTCTGTTATAACAACAGTACATGATAATACGCCATGTTTACTTCTATGGCAAAATGTGAGTAGACACCCAAGTTGGATGGAAAATATAAATAGCCTCAGATTATATTAGATCAGATGCCACCAAATGAGGTGCTATGAGACTTTATGAATTTAGAAAACTGTTCTTCAGTGCATTATGGATTGGAAATAGTGGAGGGATTGTACATGTGTGTGGTTTCCACACTGAAAAGACACTTTTTAGGTTTCATGCACATTTGTAAGTTGAAGTTATAGCTTGACAGTGCAACGAGCTGATCCCATCCTTGTGTTGTCTTTTGCTGGTTTCACTGGTGTGCATGGTGATGGGGAGGTAGACTACCATGATCTGAAGGCATCAAAGAAGATTATCCTGTTGTTTATTTTGTTGTAAAGCTGCTACTGTTCTAAATGTACTATGAGTTATCTCATCCAGTTCTTAAAGCAACTTGCTGATTTATTCCATGATGGTTTCCATCTTAGAGGTGAGAAAATTGAGTCTTAGTGATGTGGAAAAACAACACAGCATGATGCCAAGCATTGCTTCTTGACTGCCTGGCTTCATTGTGTGTGTGTGTGTGTGTGTGTGTGTGTGTGTATAATGTATGTATGTATATGTGTATATATTTATTTATTTATATATGTGCCGTGTCCTTATGGTGTCTGAAAGGACTCAGAGCAGTGCTCCTGGGAGGAATTTGTCTACCTTACTGGCCAAGGCCAGACATGGCAACCACTATAGAGTACATCATTTGTGGTCAGTATGTGTTCACACACTACTAACATCCAGACATAGGGAATATAAAACCCTAACCCTGCCCTGGAGAATATATGGGAAAATAACACAGGGAATCTTGATGAGTCTCTGGAGAAGCAGGTAGGGCTTTGGAAGGGGAATTGCATGCTTCGTGGCAAAACAAGCAAGTGCTGTTGAAGAGTTCATAGGGAAGGACTGAGAAGGACGACAGGAAGGAATCAAGAGCCTAAGGGAGGTTTTCTCATGAGCCCTCTGGCCACTGTAAATGCTTATAGGCCTGCTGAAACTCCCGCTGACAGGCTTGCTTTGATCTGCATGCTAATGGGTGCATTGCACCTAGTTCAACATCTAGAGAAAATGAAAAGTCATTTGAAGGTAAAGTCACTTGGAGGTGATTTTTTTTTTTTTTGAGGTTTTGCCACCAGCCTGAAAACTTGCAGGAAGGTCTGAAGTGTCTCAGTGTCAATTCAAGGACACTCTACACCTCTCTTCCAGAAGACAACACTTAAGTTAATGAAGTTCTGTCTCTTTTTCCCATCCTTTTGTTAAAGACCTTTTCCTACTTAGTCACTTACTTAGAAAGCAGGAAGATGGGGGTACCCTGAAATCGTGGCCATTAGAATACAGGGGAAATTTCAACATTGACCACATTTTGAAGGGGAGTATAGGGGAACCTGGCAACTGGTACTACCCCAAGACTCTAGTATAATGAAGTAGAGATGTAATGCTACAGCTGAGTAGAAATGACCTAAGGTTTCTGTGAATACTGGCATTCTGGAACTGTGGGGGTGGTTGGTTTCTAGGAGGAAGAACAATGGCTGGGGCAGACAGGGCCTTGGGAGGATAGGACCCAGATCACAGGGCTTGTAGAGAGTAGATTGGGACCCAAGGTTTTCTTTTTTTTTTTTTAAAGCTAGGCCAAAGAACGGGTGTGAGTGCAGAAGAGGGTGAGTGAGACCAGGGGTTATTTTATTTTTATTTTATTTGTGCCATGGCCTCTTCAAGAGCCTGGCAGGAGCAGGTATGTGATTGAGGGATTCAAGATAAAACTGGTCATCTCTGACTGCATGTGTCCAGCTGAGGCAATGTAATGGATTAAGCTATTCAGATGGGGTCCATGTTGCCTTATTTTTTAAAGACACTTTATATGGAAATAGTACAAAGACATCTCAGGAATAAAATGGCCCTTCAGAGTGACATACAAATTCCCAAGTCCATTTGTTATTAATATTATGCCCCATTCAGCCTCTGTAGTTATGGTATTTTCCATTCTGAACTACTTGAGGGCATCTGCCATTGACCTTTGCCTCTAAATATTTCAGTGTGTATTCCCTAAGGATTGGGATGCTCTCTTATATACCTCAATAGATACCAGTTATGTTATATACTTTAACCTACTGTCTGTCAATTTTGCTTTGTATGATTAGTGTCTTAACATTTTTTTATTTCTGTAGTTATGTGTATGAATGTTTAGCCTACTTGTATGTATGTAACCCTTCAGAGGTTAGATGAAGGTGTCAAATTCCCCGTAACTGGAGTTGTGGATGGTTATGAACCACTTTGTGAGTGCTGGGATCTGAACCCTGGTCCTCTGCAAAAGCAACAATTGCTCTTAACCACTGAGCCATGTCCAGCCCCTTAGTATCTTTTTTTGTAGAAAGAGTGTTATTGACGTATAATTGGCATAGGGTAGATCAACACACCCACATACATACATACATACATACATACATACATACATACATACATTCATATCAACATACTAATCAAGACAACAAACATCTACTCACCCCAAAGTTTACTGATGTCCTCAAACCCCAAATTGAGAACTTAGGTTCTTCATTTGTCACTAAGAGACTTAAGACAGTTTTAATTTTTTTTCTTGCAAGTCTCATGAATAATATTTAATTTGCATTTTGCTTATGTTTGCAGTTGAACATTTTCTGATATGTGTAATGACAACTATATGTATTATTATGAGCTACCCATCCAGGTTCATTTTCTATAGAGTTTTCTGCCCTTTTTTTCCCTCTGTTATTTGAGATTCTTCTATGTATCTGTGGTTGATGCTGCAGAAGTTGCTCATTCTGTTCCTTCCCTTGTGCTGTTTTCTCATGTAAACGTTTTTCAGGTAGGGAGAAATAACTAGTTTGCTTTTGTTGCACCAATATTTTGAGTCAGACTTAGAAAGCCTTTCTCAGCACCCATGTTTTCTTATACACTTTAGTTTTTTTGTTTTTTTTTTAATTTGTTTGAATTTCTGGTATACTTGGAAATTATCCATATGTAGATGCAATTTTACATTTATATTTTTCCAAATTCTGTTCCATTAGCCTGCTTATTAATAACATAATCTAATTGCAGACCTTTAGGAGTTATTATTTTGATATCTAATTGATGTCACTCATCTTTGCAAATATTCTTGTGTTTGCTCATTCATGAGAGCTTTAGTGACATAATGTGTAGCTCCTTACAAAAGCATTTTTACTGAAGTAAAAAAAGGGTTATTGGATTATTATATTTTTCATATATATATTTCATACAGGCTTTTGAATGCTTAAGTTTGTTTTAAATATTTGTTTTCGTGGATTTTGCATGGGCTTTTTCTTCATTACCTCTTCTAATTATTTATTATTTGTGGAAATGTTAGTACATTAGTTGTTTTTAACCATTAATTGCTATATAACCGTGTTTCTAGAAACCCTTTCAGCATCAGCAAACAGTTTTACTTCAGTTGTTTGACTTGTATTGGCTGATTACTAACCATTGAGATGGGCAGCATGCCTTTTAAGATTATTGTGCAGATGCGTGCATCCTGCTTTGGTTGTATCCACCCTCTCTACCACCTTGTTTTACTTTCCCTTCTCATTCCTTCCTGACTCTCAGGTTCCTTGCCCTTCCCTGCATTGTTTGTTTTTGTCTTTTGAGACAGGGTTTCTCTGTGTAGCCCTGGCTGTTCTGGATTTGCTTTATAGACCAGGCTGGCCTCAAACTCAGAGATCTGCCTGCACCTGCCTCCCCAGTGCTGGGATTAAAGGTGTGCGCCACCACACCTGGTCCCTCCTCTATCCTCAAGTCTTTGCTTTGTTGTTGCTATTTGTTAATCACAATGAGAAAGTGTGTTATTTATTTTTTCATATCTGGCTTTTGATCAATACTGTCGACAGGATTGTGTTCTTTCTGGCTGAGTAATGCTCCATTGTATATCTGTACCATGTTTTGTGTATCTATCTGTTATTCCGTCACTGGCACTGAAACCAATTCTATAACTTGGATATTGTGGGTAGTGCCTCCATGAGCACGAGTGCTGTAGGCAGCCTGACTTTACTTCTGACATCATTGTATTAAACAGAATTACCAGACACAGAAAGGCAAACATTTTCTTTCACTGTTTCCTTACTACGTCAGGTATGACACTTGATTTTTTTTTTTTTTAAAAAATCAGTAATTTTATGGCAACTTGGCCTGAGGAATGGGAGTTAAATGGCCTTACCTCTCCCTCCTGAACTAGACTCTGGCTGAAAGACAGATGAGATCTGTCTGGTAGGAACCAGGACTTGGATTTTTCATTTTTTTTTTTTTTTCCCCTCAGTTCTCTTCCTTTAACATCTTTCTCTGGCTCCTTGTCAAACTAGCAGTTTTTCTGAGGACCCATTAGCTCATTTTGAAGTGAAGAGCATGCTGTATTCCTGCAGGCAACCGCCTTGCTTCCCCTTTCCCTCAGTTTCTCACTGGCGCCCATCCTCTCCCCTGTGGCATGCGGAATTAGACATACTTGAAGTAACGGTTGGTTTTCTCTCTCCTCTCTTTAGGTACATGGCTTCTTCCTATTCCCAGCCCAGAAGAATAGACCCTTAGGCTGGGGGAGGTGAGCCAGGCAAGGCAAAGGCAGCCTCGAGCCCTCCCATTGCCTGCCCTCCCCTGCGGAGGCCAGGATGCTGAAGAAGCAGTCTGCAGGCCTTGTGCTTTGGGGTGCTATCATCTTCGTGGGCTGGAATGCCCTGCTGCTCCTCTTCTTCTGGACACGCCCAGCTCCTGGCAGGCTCCCCTCAGACAGTGTTCTCGATGACGACCCTGCCAGCCTCACCCGTGAGGTGATCCGCCTGGCTGAGGACGCTGAGGTGGAGTTGGAGCGGCAGCGGGGACTGTTGCAGCAAATCAGGGAGCAACATGCTTTGTGGAGCCAGAGGTGGAAAGTGCCCACTGTGGCCCCTCCAGCCTGGCCCCGTGTGCCTGTGACCCCCTCACCAGCCGTGATCCCCATCCTGGTCATTGCCTGTGACCGCAGCACTGTCCGGCGCTGCTTGGATAAGTTGTTGCACTATCGGCCCTCAGCCGAGCGTTTCCCCATCATTGTCAGCCAGGACTGCGGGCACGAGGAGACAGCACAGGTCATTGCTTCCTACGGCAGTGCAGTCACACACATCCGGCAGCCTGACCTGAGTAACATCGCTGTGCAGCCCGACCACCGCAAGTTCCAGGGTTACTACAAGATCGCCAGGCACTACCGCTGGGCCCTGGGCCAGATCTTCAACAAGTTCAAGTACCCAGCAGCTGTGGTAGTGGAGGATGATCTGGAGGTGGCACCAGACTTCTTTGAGTACTTCCAGGCCACCTACCCACTGCTGAGAACAGATCCCTCCCTTTGGTGTGTGTCTGCTTGGAATGACAATGGCAAGGAGCAGATGGTAGACTCAAGCAAACCTGAGCTGCTCTATCGAACAGACTTTTTTCCTGGCCTTGGCTGGCTGCTGTTGGCTGAGCTGTGGGCAGAGCTGGAGCCCAAGTGGCCCAAGGCCTTCTGGGACGACTGGATGCGCAGGCCTGAGCAGCGGAAGGGGCGGGCCTGCATTCGCCCAGAAATTTCACGAACGATGACCTTTGGCCGCAAGGGTGTGAGCCATGGGCAGTTCTTTGACCAGCACCTCAAGTTCATCAAGCTGAACCAGCAGTTCGTGCCCTTCACCCAGCTGGACTTGTCATACCTGCAGCACGAGGCCTATGACCGCGATTTCCTTGCCCGTGTCTATGGTGCCCCCCTGCTACAGGTGGAGAAAGTGAGGACTAATGACCAGAAGGAGCTGGGGGAGGTGCGGGTACAGTACACTAGCAGAGACAGCTTCAAGGCCTTTGCTAAGGCCCTGGGTGTCATGGATGACCTCAAGTCTGGTGTCCCCAGAGCTGGCTACAGGGGCATTGTCACTTTCCAGTTTCGGGGCCGGCGGGTCTACCTGGCACCCCCACGCACCTGGGAAGGCTATGATCCTAGCTGGAATTAGCAGCACCTGCCTTTCCCTGCTGGGTCTCCTTGCGGTATCATGAGCTGAGACAGGCCCTGGGCTGTACCATCCTGTCAGGTTTCCCTCTTGGGTCTATATATCTCCTGTTTCTGTGTCCCCTCTCCCCAGTGGCATTCTAGTGCATAAATCATGATGAGGGTTGTACTCTATTGTTCGGGGAGTTATCAGGAGAACTATTGTGTGGTGTAGTTGAGGGTACTGAACAAGAAACCACTGTGTGGCATGGGGAGGCTTGGGCTTGCTGGGGCCAGGGTGTCCTGAGTTCTCTCCAAGGGCATCTGCAGAGAGCTTGGCAACTCAGCTCTCTTGAACAGGCCAGTTGGTCCTGACCTGGCTCCTGTCAATGAGCCCACCTTCTGTACCTACTCCCCCTTTCTCCACCTTCCCCCAGGGTGGGGCCAGGATATGGAAGAGAGGATTGGGTTTGTGGCCAAATGAGACTAACCAAAGGGGTTTCACTGTCAGGGTCAGATTGGAGGTGTTTAGTTGTCAGGGGCCGCTGCCTCCTGGCTTCTCTTATTGCTGACTCTCAGTGCTCTTCTCCTACAGCGGAGCAGTTTGTGGTTGGGAGATGGGAAGAGCTAGAGCCAGTTGTCAGGAAGGGGTCCGGAGGACAGCCTGTTCTCGGGCACCCTCCTTTTTGAAAGTCAGTTCCCTCTGCTTTTTAGGAGGGCTTGGTGCCAGCCTGGTGGAAGATGGGGGACTGACTTCCATGCCTCTTTTCCCCTGGGGTTTGGTGAAGAGGCTCCTCCCTGAGGGCTGGCTCTTGGTGGCTGTCTCAGAGCAAAGTGCACCTGTAGCTGAGACCAGGAGATCTCTGGCCCCAAAGCAGCCCCTGTTCTGCCTTCCCCAGCATCCCCACATCTCCCTCGCCAAGATGCAGGTAGCAGGTCGGAGAGAAATCTGTGTGTTTTTGTTTGTTGCCTGACCTTAGTTTCATGGAAGAAAATGGAATCTACAGAATTATTTTCAAAAATAAAGTAAAGGCTGAATTGTCTGAAATATATGTGTCTGTGTCCTAGGAAAGGAGGTAAAAAGTGGGGCGGGGCGTGGGGGGGGATGACAAAGGGAGAGAGTAAAGTCTACAGGAAAGAGCCAGACAGGTGAGAGCAAATGGACACCTTGAAGGAAAGCAAATGAGAAAAATAGGATGGATGGGACTGGGGGGAGTCAAGGTGGGGCCAAGTGGGGTAGCTAGGCTAGCCTGTGGGGAGGGCCCCAGGCAGCGTGACTGCTGTTAATCTTCAAGGGGTCTGGGAGTGGTCTGCAAAAATAACTTGGTGTCTACATCCTCCTCGGGGCTGTTTTCTGCTGTATGCCCTTTGCTCGCTCAGGCAGCATCTACTGGGCACCTCAGCAAGATGCCCATGAGTCCAGGGTTTGTAGTGGATAGGGCAGGCTGATTGTGACATCAGAATAAGACCGTTTATACTGACAGGCAGAGCATATCTGTCCCAACCTCAGTGTTTACTGAAATGTCACCCATATCACAATTAGCCCACTCTGAGAAGTGTGTGTGTGTGTGTGTGTGTGCACGTGCACGTGCACGTTTGCATGTTCATGTGTGTGCAGGTACACATATATACCTTTTTATGGAGTCCAAAGGTCAACCTCGTATCATTCCTCAGAATACTGTCCATGTTTTTGAGACAGGGTCTCCCACTGCAGAGAACTTACCCGTTATGCTAGACTGGCTGGCCAGTGAGCCCCAGGGACCCACCAGTCCACCTTCCCAGTGTCCCAGTGCTGCCACAACCGACCTTTTTACATGGGTCTGGGAGTAGAACTCGGGTCCTCTTGCGAAGCAAGAATTTATTAGCTGAGCTGCCTCCCAGCCCAAATTTTTTACAAAGTGATTCTTGAAAACCTTGGATCTGACTATATGACAATCAAATTTGGATCTGGCCAATAGTGGTAGAGATCACCAGGTAAATTCTGCCCAGAAGGGAAGAAGTGGGGCTTGGTAACCTCGGTTTGGGTTCAGGAGTGCAGATGAAAAAAAATGGAATCCGTTTCGCTCATCTTAAACTTTTACCTTGTGGTCTTGGGTGTGTTTCCCCTTGATGCTTTTAGATGGATTGTTTGACATCAGTTTTGATTTTGAAAGGAAGCTAGTCCATTGTTTGTAGCTACAGGCACAGGGCTGGGAGAGGAAACACATCATCCCTGACCACTGAGTGGGGAGTAGTTTGCCTGGACTTCATGCTCTCAGCACTTAATGTGTTTAGCAGTCACTGGCCAAATGCTGTGTTCTGAGCACTGCCCGTGTTGTGTTGCTGCTGTTTCAGCAGTGGAGACAGTCACAGTGGGGCTGAACTTGATCGGGGATGGTTGGGGCAGACCCAGCATTTGAATGGAATGTATGCTGTAAACAGCAGGTAATGGACCGTTCCCTTCTATCCTTTAGTGACTTCTTCCGCACCCCTCCCCAGCCTCATTTGGCCCTGAGACAGCAGGTGATGCTAGACTTCCAAAATGAGCAGCTGGTGGTCTCCTGGATGGAGCCTGCTGGAACCGCTTGGATGGTTGGTGGGTTAGAGTGAGTCCAGGAAACTGAACAGGAAGAGAAGGAAGGGGGTGACTTGAGGGCCGCTACAGCTGTCCAGAAACTTAAGAACAGCCTGGCTTTTCAGGTTTTCCTTGAAATGAGGAGTGCCTTTTTGAGATCTCTTCATATTCTGTTTGCTTTTGAAGTAAGCCCCCTCCCCGCCAATAGGCAGCTTCCTGCCTGTCAAGGCACCCTGGAGGTTCCTGTGAGCCTGGTTGACTAGGAACCCCGATGCTCAAGTGAGTGTGCCAGCTGGGAAACACCTTGGTGTCACACGCTGTAGAGTTCTGTTACCTTTCAGCTTAGAGAGTCCGTAGTCTTGAGGTCACCTCTGCCTCGGTGCTTTGCTGTGCCTCTGCTTTTGCCTCATCGGCTCTCCTTGGTCCACTTGCTGCCATTCCTCCCATGCCCATTCACCCTGATGGCTTCAGGACCGCCATCTCTGCCTTCCGTATGGCCTAGCCCCCTCTCCTCCAGGTCACATTGACATCTCATTTGGGGAGTGAGTCGCCCTGTGTAGACAGATGTAGTCTCTGTGGCAAGGCTCCTGAGTCTGCAGTGGACTTCCTCATCTCATCTGGCTCTTGTCCTGTGGGGCGGGTGGCCAGGAGAACTGAACCTCCTAGGGATGACCAAGAGTGAGAGGGTAATTGCAGCACTTGATCGAAAACCCCACTTGCAGAATGTCTTCTCCCCTTCATTACATATTTATTTTAGGAAGTCAAAACAGATTGCAATAATATCCATGCTTCTTTACCAGATTCATATTGTGGTGCAGGATCCTACCAGACTTCTTTCTCACACAAATAGAACGTTTACTTATCAACAAATTCATAAAGTTCTGCAAATACTTAGCTTATATAAGCTTACATAACTAATAAGTTTGTGTAATCTAATGCTACCCATATTTTTAAGAAATACGGGTCTCTGGCTTCCAGGTGGGAGTTTTGTAGCGGTGAATGGCTTGCCACTCCAGGCGTCCTGGCCCTGTTTCCTACCCAACACTCTTGGCTAGCCAGGTCAAACTGCAGGGAGTTCATGTTTGGAAGCAGAGGTTAGAAGCCCTTTCAGGTAAGGGATCACGTTCCCTTGTCCTGAGGCTGGGAGACCAAGCATGGTAGCACAGTTTGCCCGGGTGATGGGCCTGAGCTGGACCATGCACGGGCCCACTGTCTGTGTGTCTCACTCTGGAGCAAACCTTGGAACCTACCAGAGCTTTGTCCTATGAGGTCAGGCCAGTAGAACTCTCTGGAAGGTTACGAAGATGAGTTGATGTGTGGAAGCAACATGAAGACGGTCTGGAAAATCTGTCTCTGGCTTCCCTTTCCCGGTGCTCACCTTGGTTCCACCACTAACAGGCCCTCATACCTTCACATGAGTCCAGAGATAGCTGAGTGGTGGGCTTAGCGTGCATGGGGAGCACGTGGTCCTGAGGTTGGTGCACTTTGCTCCGGTGCCTCCCTTCACTCTTCCTACTAAAACTGTAAGTGACTCAGAACTAGAGTTAGCTGCATACGGCAGGGAATTTGGATCTAAAGAAACGAGAGAGAGGGGCCGGTGAGATGGTTGATCAGTTAATAGCATATACTGTACATGCAGAGGACCCAAGTTCAATTCCTAGCACCTCACAACCACAGGTAGCTCCAGTTCCAGGGAATCTGACCTTATATGCTTCCTGGGGCACCTGCATACATATGGCACATTGGTACATAGACATACACTCAGTCATAGACACACACGGCTAAAACAAATCTAAAAAAAAAAAAAAGAAAAAAGAAAAAAGAAATGTAGGGTTGGCTGGTGGCTTCTGATGTCCACAGGGCCTCAGATACTTGGATGTTGGTCTCACCCTCCTTAGCATGAGAGTTCCATTCTAGGTGTCACTCCTTGGCTACAAGAGTTCCAGACATCACCCAGGCTAGAGGAGGGCCAGCTTCCATTCCTGGGAGCCTGAAGTCAATGCCTGATCACAGGTCCATGGCCTCAAACAGAACACACAATCATGCTCTTGGCTAAGGAGACTCGAAAAGTAATTTGCCAGCTAAATGATTTTTAAACTAGGAATCCTATTACTAAGGAGAAAGGGAGTGCGGTGTGGAAGGCCACCAATGCTGTGACACCTGCAAGACCAGTAACAGTGGCAGAGGGTTCTTGGAGAAGGAAGGGGGTGGTGGTGTTATGGAAGTGTTTTAAGAGTCCCGACCTGAAGAAGGGGAGAATTCAGCTTCCTGAAACCCTTGCTGGATTCCATGAGAACTCCTGGGTGAGGCCTTCCCAGGGTCACACAAGTGTAGTATTCTTATGTTTCACATTATTGCTTTATTTTGTTTGTTTTTCAAGACAGGGTTTCTCTGAGTAGCCCTGGCTGTCCTGGAACTCTGTACACCAGGCTGGCTTTAAGCTCAGAGATTTGCCTGTCTCTGCCTCCTGAGCGCTGGGCTTAAAGGTGTGCACCACCACCGTCCAGCTAAGAGTAGTATTCTTAAAGACCACACCCATCTACAGAAATGCTGATTGGCAGGCACACACAGATGAAGGAAGGAATCATCTTCAGCATATGGATCTAGGCACACCAGCCAAGATGGGTCTAGGCATCAGGAAGGACTACAGGGAAAAGGAGGACAAAGGGCTCTTCACAGACTGACACCAGTGCTCACATCACCCTCCCTCACATGCACACACACTCCATTCATTAGAACTTAGCCCAGGTCTTTTGGTTGCAGGAAAAGTGGGAAATGGAGTCTCAGCTTGACCACAGTGTGTTCAGCTAAAACTTACTTAGCACAGGCAGGGGAGGATGATAATGGGCAGGCAGTATTCATGAGCGTGGAGATAATGGCACCTTTGGTCAAACACCTCTTGGGAATAGAATTATACTTCAGGGTTTATATTTAAGAAGAAAGGAAGACCCTGGGGTGAATGGTGAGAACTCGCCAAGACCCTCCAAACCTCCCCAGAGGAAACCACCAATTAGCACACACTGTGGGAGCTGCTGCCTCCATCCTGCATGAAGCCACACCAGAAGTCAGGCTGCACATATGCAAAGTTAGGTTATTGAAGGTACACTAGTTCCTTTATGCCACCGTGTCAAAATAGTAGACACACATGGTCTATGAAGCAGAGGTGTATTTTGGCTCTAGATTTGGAAGGTTCAAGTCTAAGATGAGCCACTCTGCTGCCTGGCTGCCAGGGTTCAAATCAGTGTAAGTGCTCCCATCTCCAGCTAGGAGGCAGACAGATAAGATAGGCCAGGGTCCTAAGACTCACGGGGCACACCTCCAAGTGACTGTAGATCTCCCACAGACTGCATCACTGCCCAGACACCACCCTGAGGACCAAGTCTTTTACACAGGGCTTCTGGAGGGAATTCCAAGTTCAGCTACAAGGACAACAAAGCTTGTGCTACTTCTTGGTTTGCTTAGAATCTTGGGCTGAAAGCTACACAGTCAGAAAT